ATCACAGTGCCAATGGGTTAAAAAATTCCCTGATAACCACAAGAAGAAAACTAAACTGTCATTGCAATTTGAGACAGAAAACTACAGCAACTCAAAATGGATGCTACAGAATCAATTCATATTTGCTTAGAAGCAGATGCTCACAAGGATGGACAGTACTCTGATACTGTAGCCATGATTAAAATTAAATGAAAAAAACCTAGCAAGAAATATCTAAGTCTTAATGATAGGAAGAATTCAGCCAAGCAAAACTAGTGGAAGCTGCATGCTGGGACAATCAACGAGCACTGAAAAAAAATCCAGATAATTTTGTCATTCTGCAAGAGCTTCCCAGTACATTCAGGGATGTCAGTGAACATTTATTGAAGTTGAACTGGTTGCACAAAGTCCTCTGCTGCCAGGAATATTATTTGTTGTCAAGACTACTGGTTTTGGCCCTGAGCTCTCTTCAAGTGGGGCCTGTGGATAACTGCTGGGCAGGGAAGACTTTCATGTGAATTATTAGTAGGCACATCTCTGGTTTCTACTTCAGATGGACTTCTCACAGGAGAATTGAGGGGATTCTATCAGTTCCAGCCATATGGAAACAACGGGCAGAGGTAGCATATGGATGCCAAGTATTCAGAATTTCACTTTTTACTTTTCACTTTATTTGCTGGGGAAGAGATAGGTTTGAAAATTGTATTTCTAAGTGATATTATCTTCATAGACTGGGGAAATTAGAGGAAAGTAATTTTAAAAACAAAGATAATTACATCGTAAACAGTTCTTACTGCATTACTGGAAAATCATGTTCTTCCCAGATATGCTGGACTCTAGGTAATCTTTGAACAGCGCAAGTACTGTTGTCCAGATAGCACAAATAATCACATATTTAATGACTGTGGTTAATGTACTAATTATAGTTTTAGAAATTCCTTCCATTTCTTTTCCCTGAATGTAGCATAGAAGGATCTTGGGGAATATTTTCAGATTTGGAAGAATCTGAAACTAAAATTTTGTAGATTTCTAAAAATAAAATAAATAGCAAATTGTTAATGACAAGGACAATTCAATTGCTTTGAATTTCCACAATGTAGGTCTCAACCCTTGTATCCCCCAGACAAATGTGTTTGTAACTGACTCACATATCACAAAAGAATTTGGAAGCAAGAGAAATGCCATGTAAAGTCTTTGGGGGAAAAAAAAATTAATTATTTAATTTAAAATACTCCTAGCTATCAGAGTTTGTGGCTATTTATGCTCGAAAGGTAAGGGACATATTTCTCCTTCAGGCAAAGAGTGACATGAGTATTAGATGTGAGTTCTGCTGACTGTGTTTATATCAAAGGCAGTTGGCCTACCTGAACATTTGCTTCTTGTGCCCTTGTGATCATTTTTCCATTTGGCTTAGGTATTAAGTGAAGTGATTTAATTTCTTTGACCTCCAGTTTCCCTGTTAGTAAGTTGGAGATAATGTGACTTTGACAGAAGTCTGAAGAGAAATGTATAGGTTCTGAGTAGTGGTACAGATATTTTAATATCTTAGTTTTCCATTCCCCAAGAAAAAGAATGCATCCTATATTCATTTGTGATGGTTCACAGTGAATGTATCTACACAGCATCAATAAATCATTAAATACCTGATTCTTCTGAAAATTCTTTGCAGAGGATTATAAATTCATGTTTACCATTCAAGTCTTCAGCCTTAACCTAGTTATACCTCTTTCCAGTGTGAATCTCCATAAAAATAATAAGCTTCATTGTCACTGCTGTGCCCCTTCTTAGTATCTCCTGCTTGGTCAAGTGTGTACTCATCAAAGTTCTTGTCTTGCTGTTATGTGATTGCTGTAGCATTGTGGTGGCTTCTGTCAGATAATGCAACTGACTTGAACTCCCACATATAAGAAAAAAATACAGCTATAGCCCTTTGAAGATCTCTTATAAAATGTGCTTCTAATTAGATACATATAATAGAGAGTGTCAGGGGGATTTGTTCACTGTCACAGACCTTCAGTGCTGAATTTCTTCAACAATTTGCTGAAGCACATAGAAAACAAGAAGCATTTATGACTGCATGTGATGCAGAGATAAGAGATGAGCTACATCTGAAGCCTCTGAAATAAGAAGAAATGGGAAGCAGAAACATCCTTTTATTTCAAGGCAACTAAACTCCCTGATAAACAACTAAAGTGTTTATCCATCAAATTCAGGTAACGAGCACTTAACACGGCATTTCAAAAGGAAGAAGTTTAAAACATACTTTTAAAAGACACTTTTAGCCTTATCTGTAGTCCAATAACAAGACATTCTTGTTAAATGAGTTTCTCTAAATGGCAGAAAAATGTGTCCATGTTTTGGTGATAAATTAGCTGTAAAAAAGAAAAGTTTTATTTCTTCATATAATAAGGTTCTCTGCTGGCACAAGCAGTTGCAAAGTTCCTTGGAGTGTTCTGTTGAATGTCCTGTGCACGTTGAGCTTTTTCATCACTGTTGCTTGCATCCAATGGTAGATGTTGTGCTATGAACAGCTGACCTAATGAAACCTGGTTTCCAGAGTCTCTCTCCCATATTTTCCCCCTTCATGTTGACTGATAAATGATGATTTTGTAAGTCCTTCTCTGTAGAAGGACTTAATAGTTTCTATTTCCATTTGTATGCCCATTTTCCTGAAACCTTTGTGGGAAAAGTATCTTCCAATCTTCTTGTATTCTTTTGTCCAATTTGCTTAGAATTTTTCTGTAGCACAAAAATTTTTCAAGGAAACAGAAATTGCACAGTTTGTTTCTTTAAGAAACCAACCTAAGTGCAGTGTTTAGAATTTTCACTATAAGGAATGCAGTTATCTTCACATGTCAGAAGGAGTGTTTGTATGATCTACATAAGAATATATAACATTACAGTATTACAATAATTGGCAAAACCCAACAAGTTAAAATGCTGCAAAGTTGGTTAACAAAGCCAAATTGGGGTTTTTGAATCTAAATTGATGTTTTCTTCTCTTTTTTGTAATTATAAACCTCCATGTTCCATATGAAGAGGGGTGTACTGTGAGAAAGTTACAGGAAAATGAAATGCTTAATATGTCTCAATGTTTCTTCAATGTCTCAAAGTTTTGTTTAAAAAAAAGAGTTTGTTGAGACTCTCCAGCTGAACAAGGTTTCTATTTTCCAAAGTTTTATTAGCAGCCTGCATTCAAAGTGTAGATGTGGATTAGCTGGGTCATCTCTGGAGGTATTCTGACCTCAACTGGATAAATCCTTGCAAAACTTGATCCATGCTGGTTGTGCTTTAAGCAGAGATTGGACCAGGTGACCTCCAGAGAGTTCTCCTGACCTAAATAAATCTGTCATCTGTGACCAGAAAGAGCTGACCTATAAAGTATATGTAATCTGTATGCTTTAAATTACCTGAAATTACTTTTGTATAAAGCAATTCAAGCATTTATAGCTGTGTTAGCTTCCATTAAATCAAAACTATTTTTATCATAACTTTTTAAAATCTGACCATGGGCCAACTAATAGCTAGGCTGGCTGGAAATTATTTTGTTATCTATGAAAGAAAGGAACTTCAACAGGTCTAAATTTTGGTCATATTGGATATAGTCTCACTTTAAATTCTGGGAAATGGCAGAATTGTTTTATTTTCACAGTAGCTCGTAGATTAGGTTGAAAATGGCATGTTGAATAATAGACAGGGTAATGCAGAACATCACTTGCAAAAGGAATACATGAAGAATCCTGCATATGTTGTTAGTAAAAGAAGAGAAAGAGATTGTCATGACAAACAGCTGTTTATCATGAAAAGTAAGTGTGTAGATACCTGTGAAAAGTGGGGTGGTGATATAGCAGGAGAAAGCAGCTCTCAGCTATACCAGGTGGGGAATGGTGTCCTATTGCTGTCATATTTCACATGTATGCAAGCCCTTGTGGAAAAAAATAAACAAACATGCAGAATTGATTTGTGGACCTAGAGGATGGCTACAACGGCCGGCAGAAAAACATTTGAAGATCCTGATGTTTATTAGGTGACGGAATAATTTGTCAAGGGAAATTCTTAAATACAATCATCAGATAAGATTAGCAACTACAGGTCAGCCTTTATTGTACAGGATCCTTCAGCATTACAGCAGGGGAATTTATTTTCCAGTCCTAGCACATAAGGTTTTATGAATACAAAAAAGAAGCAGAAGAGTGGACAGGAGGAGAGAAAAATTGTATCCCATTACTCATATCAGATACATGAATAAGATGTTTGGCAACTACTAATGAACAGATATTGCTTAAATAAGAATGCTTCTCCTATACATTCTGAGAAAAAAAAATTAGAACCCCAAAGAAAGTGGCAATTTAAAATGCAGTCTGTCTCCTGAAGGTGTTGAATAATTATGAATCTTGCTTTGGAAGGTCACAGAATTCTCCCATATTTTGTAGAAATACTGCAAAAGATAGGTAGGTAGGTAGGTAGGTGGGTAGGTAGGTATGTAGATAGATAGATAGATAGATAGATAGATAGATTGATTGATTGATTTTATTTAGGTTATATATGCCTGGTTTCTTAAGACTAAATCTGAAGCATTGAAAAAATCCAGGGCTAGTTCAATTAGGCTGTTATTTAGTAAGTTATAGATGAATGATCAGGTCTGCACTTCTAATATAATTAATACAATTACATAATAACTACTATTAATAATTAATATAATTGATATTACACACCTCTTTATTGTAGCATTACCCATTTGAACAATGAAAGAGATAGAGATTAGTCTCAAATTTAAATGTCAGATTTATCAACTGTTTGCTGAGATGCAGGTTTTCTGCTGGGACTGACTACTCACTAGGTCACTAGACCCTGTCAGGGAAAGGGAAGAATTTATTTGTAATTCTCTCTTATGTATATCATTTTTGTTCATAGGCACCATACTTATAATCTGGTTTTGTCTCAAACTGAGCTAATGAACTAAGTTTACTTCAGCTGAGAGTGGAATTGTTAATTCTGTGTTTCTCTCTTCCTCCCTACAGTATGCTGTCTGGCTGATCCTTTGGGTTACATGGAACGTGTTCGTTATCTGCTTCTATTTGGAGGCTGGAGACCTTTCAAAGGTAGCTGGATATGTTTAAGCCATCAACTCTTTGTTAACATGCCCCAGCCTGTGCTCTGTTGAACTCATTCTTTTAGTGCTACCTAAATGAATATCGTAGTATGATGTAAATTTGGAATATTCTGGGTATGTTAGAAACTTTTACACCAGACAGTAATGAATGTATACACTTTGATGCCCACAGCAATAATTACATATATTCTTTAAAAGAAAATTACCTCTTTTTGTCCCCCTCAGTAGCCCTGCAATGCAAATTCCACCCATGTGAGAGAGACATTAATTAATGGTTTCATGAATAAAAAACATTGACATCTCAGGAGCAAACAAGTATTTATTGTACCTTTTAGCTTGCAGTTACTTAGCTGGATTCCTTTCAGGGGTCTTATACGTAGTATAATAGTTGTAAAACAAGGAGTTTTTAATTAAATTAAAGATGTAAATTAGGTGCCAGAACAGGTTGCCATTTGGCTTCATCAGTGTTTTTAAAGTTTAGGCTTCTGGTATGAATTTTTCCTTGAACACTTATACATAGTAAAAATCTATATCAAAAATATATTTTCCTAAGAATTACATATTTATAGAGTTTTATTGACATTGTGATAATGCATAAAGTGGCAGTTGCTAATGGCCTCATACCAGCACTCCTACTTTCCAAGGTGTTCCCAAAAAGCTGGGAATTTGTGAGATAAAAGATTAGCAGTGGCAACAATTATTTTTAGGGTAATATGCTCCAATTGAGTCTAGTTATTGCTGAATTATGCTCACAGTACCATGAACTGACCATCAGGGAGAATCCCTCGTGTCAAACACATCACATTGTTTTCTTGACTCAGATTAAAATTTTTTTTCCTGATTATAGGGAATTTAGCCCAACAGTGAGTTACAGATGTAATCCTCTGATCCTTTGTGAGTTACTGATACCTTTTTATGCAGAAGGTTAAACACAATTATAGGAAGAATAAATGAGGCAGAGATACATCCTTGCATGTTGTTTCTTTCAAATCACCCCCAAAGTACAAAAACTACTAGAGACAAGGTGTGTCATCCCCGTGTATTCTCTTTCTTCAAAGGTGCTGACTTCAAAAGGATCAAAATTTCATTTCCTTAGGGTGTAAAGTAATTTTCTGCAGGTAAAATGTTACTCTTTCCTGGTTTTATACTTTCAGACAGGCCAAATCTCATTAAAAACTTGGCAAAAACATAGCAAATAAAAGAACTTGCATATATAATCTTTTATTTGGTCAGAATTCTTTCTTTGTTGCCAGGAGATCTAAGATGTATAACAAACCTGGCACCTGTTGTACAATTATTTTCTACCCAATCCACCCTCTTTCCACCTGCTTGTTTCAGCCACCTGCATTCCTAAACTTGTAAATGTTGGGATGCTTATCCTGCCTCAGGAAGTGAATGGGGGTGGGAAAAATGGAGGAAGGAGAAGTAGCTGTTTGAGCAGTGGGTATAAAAACAGGGTAAGGACACAGGTAAGTGCTAGTTGGAAATAAAATAGGCCAAAAAGAGTACCTAAACCTTGAAATTATTTTTTTTCTGAAGTCATCATTTAGAATGTTTCCCCAACAGGCATAGAGTTCAGGTCTATATTTGAATGCAGTTTAATCTTTTATTTGGTCTCTAGAGGTATTATTTGCTCCAGTGATATGATCTGCCTTGAAATACCCAGTAGAGTATATTCTTTCCACTTCAACTGGCTTTCAGAGCACCAGAATTGGTAAATAGAGGGAGAAAAGTTCAGAGAAAAATGGATTTTAAAAAATGGTGGAGAGATCAACTCATTATCTACAAAAGATCCAATTCACATGTGGGTCATCATTCTCCTCTCCTTTTCAACTCAAATGCTATGTCAAGATTTCCCCACATGGGAAATATCCTAGAACATCTAATGCTTGGAAATATACATCTAATGCAAAGATACTCCACTGTTCAGGTTGATACAACATATCCCCTCATTCTAGATCCTTCAGAGGCTCTGGCTGTTTTAGACATGTAGGCATCTTACAGAATAGATCATTTCAAGTGTAATGTTTCTCAGGCCTACTCATAAATCTTGCAGTGAATCTTCTTTATTATTTATATTTTCATCTGGGAATAACTGCAGTTTTAAATCTGTGGTAATAAACCTGGGTATTTTCTTTGTTTGAAATGGTATGTGGAATCTTGAGAAAAGCACTGGGTCTGAGCTAGTTCTAAATAGAGAATAAAGACCAACTTTTAAGCAAGTACCATAGGGATGCCTCTGAGATTGTAAACCATGTTCCCACTGTTGCAATACAGGGCAATATAGGAAAGGAAGTAACATGCTTTGAATGCAATTTTTTTTTTTTTTTGCTGCCTGTGCAGCATGGCTTTAAGAATTAATAGGTTAAAATTACAGCCTAATAACAGTTCAGATTGGTATAGTTTATATGTATTATTTATAGCTTGCTACAAAATAAAATAAAGAGAAGGCAAGGGGTTTTTTTCCAAAGTTTTAAGAAAGCTTTTATTCTATGTGTACAGCAATTTTTCCATCATCACCTGCTGAGAAAATGGAGAGGACATATTTCAATTGTTAATATACTTATTTTACTTGTGGGGGTGGAGGTCATGACATTTTTACAGCTCCTCCTTATTATGCTGAAACAGGTCTGTAAAGACTCAGAAATTTTCAGAAGAATGAGATAAGCATCTCTAAAGAGACTGAGGAGATTCAAGGACTATTTGTGAACATCCATGTAAATCTGTTTGCATTATACACCTTTACAATCATAGATATCTTGTGAAAAATGGTGTCACACCAAGTATTTTCTGTCCTTGAGGCACAGTTATTTTTGCTGAAACTCTATCACAGCAAGAGGAAATATTTATGGCTTTTTAAGTATGGTTTGTAACAAAGAGGAAGTACAATCACTTGTTCTTAACCTTGATTTTTATGTGATCTGTGAATAAATGCTTAGAAAACCCACTTCACAGATTTCCTTTTCAGTATTATTCTTCAAAAATATTTAATTAGTTTGTGTGTTGTTTTGCTTACTGGTGACTGCCATACTCTCTATAAGTAGGACTTTAAGGTGTCAGGACTGGTAATATTTATTTTGGCCTGTGGCTAACCAAATGTAGCACATGAAAAGCATAACCTCTTATCTTGAATGAGGCGCATCTGAAGTATACTAGTGAAACAAATAATAAACCATAAAACAAAAACATAATAGAAAGCATTTCTGAGAAAATGTAATATTCCTGTGGTTTTTTTTTAAACCCAGGAAAGTAGAAAAGGAGATAAATTCATCTATCTCAGAACAGCAGAAAATACTCATGTGATTAAGAACAGCACTCTTGATTCAAGGCATTTGAAAGCTTTCCTTAATGATGTCTAATGATACCACAAGCAGAAAATAAGCAGAATAAGAACTATCATACTACCATTTTTAGTTTTGAAATGAGTAAACAGTTTTTGCTGCAAGAAACCCTTTCCTGAGGTTGCACTGGTCCCATCACAAGCGTGGGAGTGCAGACTATTGCTGTCAGGTGCTGGAACTCAAGGCAGAGGCTGGGTTCAGGGTGCTGGACAAGGGGGGACCCGCTGGGCCTCAGGGTCCAAAGCAGCCCTTCCTGCACAGGGTCCCATCCTTGAGTCAGAACTTCTGGTTCTCTTTGCATTCAGCTCTACTTGTCTGACCAGATCCAAGAATTCTCCTCTCACTGTTGCCCGGCTGAGCTCTGTAATCACTTCACCATAGTCCCCATAGTACTGTGTGAATACGACCAAAAGTACACATCTGAAAAGCTCCTTTGAACTGTCAAAATTGACTTAGTTTCTATTTTTATGGCATTCCTGATGTCTTCCTTATTTATGGAAAAAAAATTATGCTTACTATATTAAATCATTAGGTTGTACTCACATATTTTTTACACAAAAATTAGATGTTTGAAAGTCGAACAGTCTGATATCAAGAAATGCCAGAATTAGGATTGCTTGACTTAGCATGATTTAGCTCTCTTCTACATTCATTTTTACATACCTTTTAATGATGAAGTCACAACTGTGTATTTTTCTTTAATCTCTGTACCACATAGCCTGTTTCAGAGATGAAGTTTAGGCAGTTGAGTGAGGCTGCCATACTGCATCTTACTCTATATACTGCAGCTGTCAGAAGAAGCTTAATAACAATATAAATGTAAATCCTGCAGTTCAGTTCTGATCTGAAAACATGTAGAATAAGAATATAAAACATTAGGTTCAGAACTCTGGCACCTAAGTTGTCTAAGCAGAGAAGTGATATTGTGTATGTAGCTACATAGATCACTGGGTGTAGTCAAACTGTGATTCCTCATTATTCATTATACAGGTCCAAGCAACTGTTCTTAACAAAAAAAACCAAAAAAAATTGCATTCAAATCATGTTACTTCCTTTTCTACATTGCCCTGTACTGCAACAGTGAGAACATGAAAGAATAAGTTTAAAATATGCACTTACTTAAAATTGAAATTGTTAAATATAATGCAAAGAACTGAATTTTCTGTAGTTATTAAAATGTAAACATAAAGGAAAATGTGTAATCAGGTTGTTTTCTGCCAGAAGTTTTAAGGGAAATGAAAGGTTTCTGAACACTTTCTCTCCTACCCACCACAAATAACTGGAAATATCAGATAACTTAGACTTACAAAATCACAGACTTATTTATGCTGGAAGAGCCTCTCAAGGTCACTTAATCCTGTCTCCTGCTCAGAGTAGCACCAACTTAAAGTTCTATCATGTTGCCCAGAGTTTTAGCCAGTCGAGTTTTGGAAGTCTTCAAGGATGGAAGTTTCACAACTTCTCTATTTCTTAACCATTCTCATTGTAAAAAAATTTTTTCTTGATATGCAGCTGAAATTTCCACGACTGCAATTTGTGGCATTGTTTCTTGTTCTTTCACTGTGTGCCTCTAGAAGAGTCATGTTCTACCTTTTCTAACATTCCCTTTAGGCTTTTAAGTGAAGCTGAGTACTTCGGTTTTCTATTT